ACTTGGGGGGGTGGGGGGGGGGGATGTTATTGAGGGTCCTACCACACAATACAAGAATGAGTGCTTACTTATCTTGTTTTGATATATTATAAGCATACAAATTATGTGGAAGAAAAGAATGCGTCGTTTTAAAGCCGAAGAAGAAGCATGGATTGGTTCCCAAAAAAAGAAGGGAAATTACAAGCAATCAACAAAACTTAAAAATGCGATATTGTAGGGCCCACTGGCGAAGCATAAATTCAAAAGATTGATCAGAGGGAGAGAGAAGGGAAAAAGTTTTTCCTAATTACCTTTTTTTCTTCTTTGTTGCTCACGCACTCTCATGCAGTTACATCACACAACCTTTTTGCACTTTACCCTTTTGTTACTTTTGCCTCGGATGCTTTTACTATTGATTTTCAATTGCCCTTTCTCTGTTATTCCAGCTTTCTGTTCAAGTTTTTCACCTTTTTCTTATAAAAAATTAAGCTTTATTGGTATACTTTCTTTACGTCTAGAATGAATATCGAGATTCAGGTATACTAACTTAAATGTAAATTTGAATAAGGCATGAAAATGAAAAGGGTGGATAAATAGGATGATCATGATGTATCTGAATGTTCTTTTCAGTGAAATGCAACCAAATCCCTAATTCCCAGGGAGCTTCACCATCACTAAAGTAACCCCACTTCAAATTCCTTAATGAAAAGTTGCTTATCATTTCATTATACTTTCCATGGAAGGATCTTTCTTTTAAGAAGTTGCAAAAAAAAGTATTTTGCTTTTTCTATATATATGCATGGCATAGTTGCTCTCTCCCTTCAGAATCTGCTTTAGTTTTTCATTTTATTATTGAGGGCACTCAAAAGGCATCAATGGCAAGTCCATCATTCTCATTTTGAACACCACTTCATTTTTTAATCTCTGCCACGTGTAGTCAATCTTCATCATGCTAGACGAAAGTTAGCAAACCTAAGTAGTCTTAAGTCAAGACAATCTATATTAACTTCTAATGCTACCAAAAATCGTATCTATCGTTTTTCGAGCTTGATGATTGAGATTGATCACAAACGAGATCTTCCAATATTTGAAACAAAGGCGTCGATATGTGTTCTCGTCGTCCCTCTGATATTTAAGTCAGATAGTGAATTTATGCATGAGGCTTTGAATTGAAAATAATGAAAAACATACCTCAACAATGAACCTTGATCATGTATTCATAGATGTAGATGGTGGAGTTGTAAAAGGATTCAACTACCTGTAACCTTTATCCTTATCATGCAAAGCGTTTGTGATGTATTGAAAGTGTTCCGTTAGAGTTTAAATCGAACCATAATAGGTTAATAATGTGGCTAAGGGTCATGAGGAATTATAGTCGAAGTAGGATTAACTTCATGTGGGAGAGAGAGATTACGTTAAATGACATATGGCCCGACCTTACTGTGGAGGCCCGACCTCAATGGTGAGGTAACCATCGGAGGCCGAGATTGGACCACTAAGTTCGAGATCGGGTGAGACGATTTTCATGACCATCAACTTCCAAGCCATAGGACCTTGCCGCTGTGGGTGGATTTGTATCACTTCAATGTGTAAAAAGACATCCTTTAAGCTTTTGGGTATTTCCCTTTTTCACTTGAACAAATTTATCCCACAAATTCAGAAGAAAATTGTTTCCATTGGCGCTCGCATAGTAGGACCATTCAAGAATTGGCTGTCGGTAGTGTTGAGTTTCACCATTATTTGGCAAAAACTTGGCTCTGACACAACCCACTTTACAACCCTATTCAGTATTGTCGTATACGTGTTGTAAAATTGCAATTCGATGGAGAAGCCGAACTCTGTGAAAATTGGAAAATGACAAGAGAATCACTTCCAAACGTTAGGAAATGGTCCCAATTTCTTTAAATATCTTTCTCAAGTCTGGTAATTGAAGAATCGTGATTACAATGGTGGAATTTTTAGTGTTGGAAACGTAAACGTAAGATAAGTTTTATGGATGTAGACATTACATCCCATAATTAATAATTGGTTTCTCTATAGAATTTATTTTCTCATTTACATGCATGCAAACAAACATTTATTGTCTTTATCAGTTTACTTTTCTCTTTAAATGACAAGCAATCTCTCACATTTTTGTCAATAGCTTTTAATTATAAGTAATCGCTTATTCTCGATAATTGAATTTCCAATTCAACGCGTGTAATATAACTTTGAAACCATTAATGAATTATTTTCTCTTCCATTATTAACTTGGCGGCTTTCATGCTTAGGTAGTTAGGTCCATTACTTATTTTCTTGGAAAATTCTACTTGTACATAGTTATTATACATAATGGTGTCCATAATGTGATGTGGCAATCATCTGATTGTTGATGGAATTAAATGTTGGATCTAGTGCCACGTGTAATTATGGATACCATTATGTAAGTAATTATGTACATGTAGCACTTTCCTATTTTCTTGGATAAAGATGTATGTACACACAAGGGGGTTACCAAATGGTTTACACCCCCTCACAAACATGCGGGTCCCACATGCTATTAAATAATTCGAGCTGTGGTCCCCACTTTATGTTGTAAGTAGTGTGTAAAAGATTGTGTACATGTAGCATGATCCTATTTTCTTTGCTTCTCATAATTTTGAAATTTTCTTTCGTCACTAATATATATTTTAATACATTGTAAAATCTATTAAATTGATATTATGTTGCATTATTAATTAATTTACTTAAATTATACAAATAATATGCAACTTCTTTTCTTTCATTATTTTTAAAGAACCCTACTTCTAATTCAGAATCTTAACCAACGTTCATCCAATTAAGAAAATTAAATTTCTATGCCCCCCAGAGCACATCCGAGTTGGTTGAACAATCACTTCGTTAGGACGCTGGAAGCAAGGGTGGAGAGTTCGATTCCTGGAGTTAACACTGGGAGCTATATGGAGAGGAAGCCATTGGTGTGTACAAACGCTCAGTGAGGAGAGTAATTTTGAAATTTTCTTTCGTCACTAATATATATTTTAATACATTGTAAAATCTATTAAATTGATATTATGTTGCATTATTAATTAATTTACTTAAATTATACAAATAATATGCAACTTCTTTTCTTCCATTATTTTTAAAGAACCCTACTTCTAATTCAGAATCTTAACCAACGTTCATCCAATTAAGAAAATTAAATTTCTCAACCTTAAGTTAGATTCGCAAAATCCATGTTTATTTATGACTTAGTTAATGTTTCTAGTTATATCTCAAATTCTAAATTAATTTCTATTTATTAATTAGACAGTCAGCTTTGCAGGTCTGAAATTTATCTAATGCTTAAAATATATGTAAAAAAATATGCAATTTGCTCAAAATACATTATTAATTACTAGGTTTTAATCGTTACGTGGGGACAACCCATGTGATTCAAGAGTTGAAAATTTTGTTTTTGTAAAATAATTGTCCGACCATGTTTATTGTAAAAACATTTTTTTAAAAAAGAAATTAATTGATAAGAGGAAATTATTGTGATTTAGTTATTCTTAATATTTTAAGTAATTTTATTTTTTAATAGTAAAAAACTTAACTTCTTTAATGTGAATTGAATCATTTGAAAGCAACACGAAATATTAAATAATTGAGAAGATAACTTAAGCTTGGTCAATAGGATAATCGATACAAGAAGAGAAAAATATTTGGACGAAGAAGTTGATAACTACTTGGTCTTTTCACTTTTTTTTTTTTTTTAATCTAAAATTATTGCGATTTCCTAGTTGGTACAAAAGAAAATTACACGATTAGATTCAAGTCTAATGAAATTGGAAAAGAAACTAGACAGACGGGATTTAATTGCTTTATTTTTCGTTTCAATTGAGGTGGACCACAGGTTAGACAAATTGATTGATTAATTTGACCCTAATTAGTGATTGAAAGGATTAAAGTGAAATGGAGACATAGTTAAAGCAGATTTAACTTTCATTATATTTATCCATTAAATGATAAATTAAAAACGATTAAATAATATCACATCCAAACCGTCATCGACCTTTTTCGCTTTCAATATTGTTCAGTACAAAACATACTACTCTACTAAATACGCACTAGGCGTGTGAAAATGAATGTCATATATCTACTTCTCTAGTAATTCTATTTATTCGATATGCAAATTTAAATCTCCAAATCCCTCGTAATTCTATTCAATTTAAGTATGAATATCTAAAGCACAAAATAGCCTAAAATTTTTAAAGTAAATTTATAAATATAAAATGTACATATTTTATTATTATTATTATTTTATGGATTATGAAAACTACACTTCATTAACCCATTTAATCGCCCCACGCCTACTACTATCCCTTGTCATGCAATGTCTTTTTAAATGAAGAAGTTCCAAGGAGCCGAAAAACGAGTTTAAACTAATAATGTAGGGCCTGTCCAATAGTACATAAGCCACATGTGATTTGATTAAGACAGCCATTAAAAAAAATTAATGAACCCTTAACAGCAGCAGCAAATTCAATGTATTATAGTACAAATAATGGCAAAGTGATGGACTAAGAAAAGACATTAAACAATAATTATTATCTAACTAATTAGCACAAATACCATGATGTTGCCATCAACCAGAAAAAGACAGTGATTTTACCATCAAGGAATTTTGGTTCCAACATACAAAAAACCCAGAATTTTAAGACATTACTGTACATTTCATTGGCAAGATGGATCGAATGAGGCTTATTTGCAAATCCAAGAATTACCCTATCAATATATTATGTAGTCTAAAGAATATATATCAAAAGAAACAATAGTGGATGCTAACTAAAATACAGCAACTAAAACTTTCAAATTTCAATTTCAAGAACACCTAAAAGGCAAATTACTTTGAAGCAAGAATTGGAACAATGACATAGGGATTTGTAATTCAAGGCAGAAGGAGAATATGCATGGGAGCGTACTTTCACTAGATTCGAAATTGTGATACATCTAACAATGAATTCCATGACACACCGTGGAATATGAAGATCCACCGACTAGAATTTCAGCGTATTTGTACAGTTAAGACAAATATTCAACAACAAATTACACCTTTTAAAAAAAGTATGAGAGCATTGTAATAGTAATACCATATCTTGAAAAGAACTATATCAGGATATCCAGTACTAAAATGCCTAAAGGCAGAAACAATATGTCTAAGCCACAAGTACAATTAGCAAAGGGGAATGTTCAAGGGGATTGTGAATCTAAAGGCACATTCACAATGAGGCAGAATTGAGAAATCTACTTATGTTTTCAGCATCGCCAAGCCGATGCAGAGATCAGTTCTTTCCGTTGCCAGCAAAGAACAAGTGAACACTGCCTTTTCTCAACTTGAAATCCCCGCACAGGAGTCTTCTTCATCAGACACTCTGCTTGTGATTCTGTGAAATTGCTAAATGTTATAGGGGAGAAACCGGATGATAAAAACAGAGTCCTCCAATGCTGCGTTTTTTCAGGGGATCGAAATCGACCCATTACAATTTTCTCAATTCCTGATCGAAGAAAGAGCCTTTCGATCTTTTCCAGCACATCCATATTCACATTGACAGCATCTAGGGACTCAAGGAGGTTAGAATAAGATTGAAGTGCATGAATTATGTGGTTGGGAAATGGTAGATCAGTCCTATCACATCCTCTGTCCACAGAAACCACAATTTTTGGCGAAAGCTGCTTAACAAAATGAAGAATTAAAGGTATAGATAACTGGTAACTTGCAAGGGAACCAACAGGGAGATTCACAGCAACCACTTCATTCTCCGGTACATGAAAAGGCATAGACCACGAACTGGAATTCAAAGAATCAACGCTCATAACCACAAACTCAAATGCAATATTGATTTCATTAGCAAACTGAATTAGATTCTCACGGGTAAGGCTGAGCTCTAATTGGTCATGGGTTGAGGATGAGGCAAATGAAGTAATTTTCAGGGACGGTGTGCCAATACTCCTCAATGCAAGCTCCTGCATCAGTGATGCCCATTGCCCACCATACCCAATATCAAAATCTACAATATGAATTCTATCAAATCCTTCAAATACTTCAAGGAGGGCTTGGTTGCAAGTAAAATTGGCAAATTGTACTACGGGGGAGATTTCCGAGAAGGCTTTGTAGGCACCAATCTTAAATATGAGACTAAACGGAGATGCAGTGACAGTAGAGTTGGCGTTGTCATTAGTATGAAGAAGAAGTTGCAATGCCTCTTTGCAATAGAAAGCAGCCCTATAGAAAGGCTTACCAATGGGAGAGAGCTGGTGATTGAGCCGCGCCAATATCCCTTGGGCAGGTGCCGGATTTCCAGTCTGGACCAGCTCAGCAGCCTTGTATAGCTGGTCGATTATCGCCTGCTGCTGTTGCTGTTGCTGAGGGCAATGTCCAAATTCATCCCCTTCCATTTTTGGCTTTGATCCTGATCCCATTGCTGTTGACGGTCTTTGCTGTAGACAATGAGGAAGTAACTGAAGCTGGTGAGGAAGGCCCTCAGGCGGTGGCTGCTGGTCGTGATACAGTTGTTGTCTTGCCATTAACAGTTCTTGCCCAGTATCCAAAAAGGGCCCTTTGGGGATGTGGCCGCCGGGCAACTCAAGACCTACACCAATAGCCCCGCCATGGTTGTGCCTTTTCGCCTGTGGCGGCAAGAATAGATTCGGGGCTGGCTGCTGTGCATATGATAATGGCATGAAAAATGAGGGGTGTGGTGAGTGCAGAGATTGATTCTGATTTAATAGCATCTGTGAAGAATCAAATGCTCCAAGATTATTGGGCACCGAAGGGAACACGTTATTAGGCAGATTTGATGATGGGTTGCTGGATCTGTTCATGGAGAAATTTAAATTGTGCATAAAGTTGGGAACTGGGGAGATGAAATTCGCACCAAATTGGCCAACTGGGTCTGCACCAAATGTCTGATCCACAACCCCAAACCCACCATTGAACTCAAAGTCCGGCGGCGGCGGCATAGGGCCACTAACGATTTGGAGAACCTTGTTCAAGCTACCCATTGAAGGGTCCTCCACATCCCCCATGATCCACCGTAGAATGGACTGCTCTTGACTAGGAGAGGCGGCAACAGACTCCGACAGTACGCTCTCCCAGTCGTCCATTGAACATTTTTCCGTGTTGGCAGTCGCGGTGTTGGGGGCAGAGATGTTGCCGATCTGGAGAGACGGAGGAACGGGGAGGAGCTCACAATTAGCTCCGGCATTGGAGCTGGTGGAAGTGGTGGAGTCTTGCCGCCATTCGGAACATAGGTTGGTATTATTCCCTGAAACCGCCACCACGCCGGCCGTGTCAGTAGAACCAGCAGCACCACCAGCTGGGCTGCCGGCACCGCGTAAAGAGGAAGACAGCGTTCACGACGATGTTAACCCTCTTTGTCTCCTTACAGTATCCAGGACAGATGTCGGCTCAAAAAAACTATTCAAAAACCAATTCTCCTTCAAATTATTTATGAAATAATTTGTTTCTTATTGACACAAGGAGCTCTAAATTCAACACCACCTTCACCTCAAAATCAAAGGTTAAGAGCATCGACTTCACCAGATAACCAAACCTACAAAATCCTTCTCAACCCAAAACAGAAAAATATATCAAAACAATAGTAAAATTTGAAATTAAAAAAAAAAAAAGGAAAAAAAAAACCACAAATACTGGCAAAATGCAGTATGCTCAAGAATAATACCTGCATGTATAGATTTTTCAAGATTTAATGCCGATAATGTTGAGGGTGGGTTGAGGTGATTTTCGAGAGAGGGAAGGTGGTGGTGGTGGTGATATTCAAGTATATATTTTTCATTTTTCTTTTTTCTTTTTTCTTCTCTTGTCCACCCTGCTTCTGCCATTGATGTGTGCAACATTACATTAAAATGTCGTATACATGAAACACACGCGCTATGATAAGCGTGAGGCTGAAATTAATTGCTTTTTTTTTTTTTTACTCACTGTAATTATGTACAGTAAAGAGCTGAACTGGCAGGGCCATTGTCCCTGATTTCCAAAAATACCCTCCCATTTGCCGACGGTAACACATCAATGTCAGGGTACTTTAGTACTTTCACGATGCAGTTCTGATATCCCTGGTTTTCGAAATTGAATCTGACGACACGAGATGAGATAATGAAAAGGCGGAACATTGAGAAGACAAATTCAACGGACAGGATCATTTGTAGCAGAACAAGATGAGCGGTTCATATCACGTTTTATTTTATATTCTATTGTTTGATATTAATTTGGGGACGTTTATGAACCAATGGTTATTTCGATTAACTGTCTCTTTTGGGCAAAAAGTAAAAGGAGAGGGGGATAGAAAAAAGCAGTTAAAGTACGGACTTGTGGTGTTTGAGGACTCTTTGGTCAATTCAAGGCGTGGGTTCGTTCTTCTACTCTTTTGTCTTTTTTGGATTTGTGGAGGCTATAATCGTCAATAAAAAAATCATGAAATTAACTGCGACAAATAGTGATTATGATTAGGATGGTTATATTCACATCCCAATTTTTATTGAATAAAGCTGCTAGGATTAAATCCCGGGTTCCGATCCAGAGTCGAGGTGGCCAAATCTCGGCCCCTAGATGTGTATGTGGGGGCCCCCACATGAAAATGATCAAGGGCCGAGGTGATTGCCACCTCGGCCTTGGAGCAGAACCCGGGATTTTATAAAATCTCGGGTTATGTAGCATGATTCATTTTTATTTGTTATACCATATTTTAATTGCAATTAAATTTTTCAATTTTTGCTTTTTATAACAATTATTTATTTAACTTTTTTTTCGTTGAATTCTTATTTTCAATACTTTATTAATTAGTACGTCTCGTTTTTATGATGATTTATATCAAGATATTTTCTTTTGATGTTTTAGAATAATGGGAAAATATTTTTTTGTATTATTATTATTATTTTTAAATATAATGAAAAAATAAGTTATTTAACTCCATATTTCAATGAACTTTTGGACAAAATTATTATTAAATATAAAATGTGCTAATTAATGAAAAGTTTAAAAATAAGAGTGACATGAAATTATTAGGGACATAAGTATTATAATAAATAAAATTAGGAAATTTAAGTGTAATTAAAATGTGATGCAAGAAATAAAAATTATGGTGTAAATATAATTACCCTTGAGATTAATCCTCTGTCTTAATTAAATAATTTACTTCCGACAATGAAAAAGATGAAGAAAAGGGGAATGGCTCTCCACTTTTACTTTCCATTATAAAATTAGTAAGATGATTAATCCACTTATAATTTTCTATTTTTACATTGCCTTCTTCAACTTTTCAAAGCAAGAATTTTTATGATTATATATTTAACCTTACGGAATTTACCATAATTCCTTTAGTTGGACAAAAAACTTATACATGAGCATAGAGGCAAAGTAGAAATGGAAAGATCCAAAAATTCTTGATTAATTGACTGATAGTATTTTAGAAAGAAACTTTTGAGAGTATAAAGAGTGACAGCATTAAATATTGAAACAATAAATTTTATATTGTTTTAATACAAAAATACTAATCAATCGTAAGATTCGAACTATTTATCCCGACCAAATTGATGTTTTAATATGAAACCTCACTTTTCAAAAATCATATCTTTTGCATGTATGTAACGTAGATATAAAATGTCATAATTTACAACGCAAATCCACGGTTTCATTTTCTCAAACGCTAATTAAATATTAAGCAAATAATGA